ATTGAAAAGCTGACCCATCTCTATCTAATGCCTTGACAAAGTTTTTCATTAGGCCCAACTTGATATGCAGTGGTGGTAATAAAATTTTTTTCGAATCTACTAATGGCATATGCTGTACATTTTTTTGACCTGGCTCTAGGAATTGACGAACAGGCCAGTTTTGTCTGGTGTAATGAAGTGCCTTTGCCCGACTGTTCCGTTCACACAAAAAACAGCAAAACTTTGTGTAGCCTAGCTGCAGCCCAAGTAAAAGTGCAATAACTTTCAAATCGCCACAAATACGCCATTGGTGCTCATCGTATTTTATGCATGTCAATAGGTACTTCATATTGTCATATGATTCTTTCATGTGAACTGCATACCCTACAGGAAGAGATGGTAAAATATTTCCAATATGCAATAACCCCGCCTTTAAACTCAATGTTGAACTGTGTATAAACAATCTCCATTCTTCTGGGTTATAGTTTATATTTAAAGCCGCCAGTAAGCCGTTAATGTTACTGCAGAAAACCAAGTTATTCTCCATATTGAAAAATGATTCTAAGTCTTTGTGGCGTTTACGAAAAACACATGCCGAAACATCGTCTTCTAACAAGTTCCACTGTTGCAGTCTTGATCCAAGTAACTCTGCCTTACATTTGGGAAGTTCTAAATCTGTTACAAGATCATTTAATTCTGACTGTATTGTTTTGTGCGGTTGGTGGCATGACGTGCTCGGCATAAAATCAGGATCTCTTGACGTTGATGGCATATCTTCTTCCTGACGAATCACTCGATCGCCATGATCTGATTCGTTTTCTGATTCGCAAGTGTAGGATTCTGGGGGTTTTGGAATAGGATTTTCGTCACTGTGAGGCACAGGTCTCATCGCAGATGGTATGTTTGGGTAGTTAATAACCAATTTTTATTTCTTGGACATACCTGTGGCTTGTACAACACAAGGTACCATGCAAAAGTAACAATCATTAATATGATTTGTAGGCTCTCTCCAAACCATTGGGACAGCAAAGCGCATAGACCGTTTTTTGTCATTTAACCAGCTCCTCAGACTTGAAGCACGTGTATTACAGCAGATGTGGGGTGCCCACTGTTTGTCTTGATCACCTAGTTTACAACCGAAATAAAGCTGATATGCCTTTGTTATTAGTGGAGTAATAGACCGTCTCTAAGACGCAAAAGTCACATCAGCACACACGTAACAAAACTGATCTGGATTGTTTACACACTTTCGAGACATCTTGCATGAACGCTGTCAGCCAACTGAGGAAAAAATGGCTAATATAAAACAATATAATGTACACGTATGTATAACGTAACACAATCATGCCGATTACATCATCCTTCCTTGCCGAATATAAAAATGTAGCACGTGCATTCTTGTGAATTACAGTATATTAACACTGTCACAGCAGAAACACATATAATTACCGTATCTCTAAAACCTGAACTAATATTGAAAAAATAAGTTTCATTCCGGTTTTAGCACATTAAAGATAGTAATATTTTGTTGATTTTATTTAGGCTATTTTTTGGCTGTTGATCAGTGATTATTGGCTATAGAGGTACATAGCGCTGAACAATTTTCAGCAGCTACACAAACCTTTCATAGAAACTCTCCCGGAAACACCTAAATCAACATCACGACAAACTCGCAGCGTCAAGCACAACTTAAAAATATGTTGAACATTTCTGATCGATTTTAATCAAGAACGGAAGGAACAGGGCGGAGAGAAAAAACAATTTCCTGTGACAAACCAAAACACTCTCCCCGAAGGTGAAATCCTCCGAACGCGGGCAATGTTTGTTGGAGAGTTGCCTACAGGTAGGCAGACGCAGTATTAATATAAATGAAATAATTTGCCATTGGGCGTTCCCCCCATTCTGCCGGTGCTCCCCTACTCTTACTGGGGATTAATTAAAATGAACTGCGCCCTCACTTCTATTTTTTTAATTATCAAAATTGAGACAGATAGCCGGCAACACTGAGAGTGGCTCGAAAGTATCCTCGACGTTGTTTATTTTAATTTTGTATAAACGTCTCCTTCGAGGTTCAACACGTGAAAAAGATCGGCAATAAGTATAAGAACGGTGAAGGGTTATTGTAGTGAATAGATACTAATTGGATAGCGGCTACTGTTTCAATATAAACGCAATTTATATCCCAGGAAGGTTTGTCCTCAGATAATCTATTCCAGCTGGCAAGATTGTGCAAATATCCAACAAAAAATAATTTACGAGTTTCAATAACAATTTGTATTTGAATAGCTCGAAATGCCGCATTTTAACCTTCACCCGGAAAGTAAAATTTTTAGTTTGCCCATACAGCATGATTCTGTATTAGAAAGGTTTGAAACTTTCAAAGATTTGGGTCAATCTGACTGCTTAGCAACTTATGCACAAAGCAGCAGTTTACGAGGGATGTCTTTTAAGTTTTGCATATGGAAATAAAACAACACGGTAGGTAGTTTTAAATGACTATTGTTTTTCGACGTATTCTCCACGAAGATTAATATGTATGGCACACATAGTGTACAGTTAGACAATAAGTGCTTTATTATTATCATTATTTTTATTTATTTGCGTCTTCTGTTGCGTCTTAGCAGATATTCAAACCTTCATTTGCCAGCGAGAAAGCGTCGCGTGGGACATACATGATATTTTAGACTAATTTTTCATGTTCTTTTTTCTGGAATTTTGACATGGTGTTATACAAAAGATATCGAAAGTGCCATTTTGCCTCATGAAAATGGTGACAAGTGGGTTCACTCTGCGCTTCCTACGCAACGCCGTCATTAAGTTCAGCGCAATTCAAATCCTCTAACAAATACATCGGACTATTATCATTTAATTTTCCCGTTGTCGCCGCGATAAGGGGCTTCTGATGATATAACTGATACTGAAGACAGATACTGAGTGACGTTTACAGCCCCCTACCCCCTCCAAATGCCAATCCCTAATGTTCAACCTTTACAAATTTCTTTCGAAAATGATCATGGGCATCTGAAACGTCAAAAAACGAAGTTTGAGCAATTTTTATTTCTTTTTCGGTCCCCACTCCGCCGCCACTGGACTGATATTCAAAAACCACAAAGCTTTTTCGTCCTTGGCATAGCAAGAAGCATTTTTGAAAATTTTATCAAAATCCGAAATTATTTACTCCTAAAACAATTTATTTTCTCAAAAACATTTTAGATACACTCTAGTCATAAAAAAATACATATCTGAAATCACTTAGACCTATAACTAATAGAACATCTGAACAAATAAACAATGTGCGAATAAATGCGCGAAGTTAACAAAGCAACAATTGAAAGATTACCATTGGGTAACATCACCTTTATTTTTTATTACGGCTGAAATTCTTTGGGGCATAGTGTTAACCAAGTTTTGGCAAAAATTTGGTGTAAAACAAACCCATATTTCTTGAAGCTTTTGTCTCAGTTCGGTGATTGTACGAGCACGATGTTGTCCTAGAACCTTTTTCATCTCGTGCCACAAAGTTTCAATAGGTGACAGATCTGGACTGCTAGAAACCCATTTCAAAAGTGGTACATTATTTTCTTCCATTCATTTTATAGCCTTTCTTGAGGTATGGCACGCTGTACCATCTTGCTGAAATACAAAATCTTGGCCGGATGTCAAACATTCCTCCATCAATGATAAAATCGATTCTTCTAAAATTGCCAAATAATTGTTTGTATCCACATTTCCATGAATAAAATGAAGTTTTCCTGCCCCAGACCATAATGCATGCTGGAAATTTCACTTTTCTCTTCAGACAGTCATCATGGAATGCTTCATTTTTTTGCGAATAACTCTACTGCGACTGTCACCAACACAAACTTCGAATCGGGCCTCATCACTCCATTGTATTGCACACCATTGTTGAGGTGTCCATTGTCTATGTTCTTTAGCCCATCTAAGCCGATTTTTCTTTTGCAGTGGAGTTAATAGTGGCTTTTCTTTGGCCTATAAATAAGTTGTGCAACTATAGGGTTTTTACTTCACTTTTTTTATAAGAAAATTTACCTTGCTAGTGCTAAATCCCAGTTTGTGGGCCTCTCTATGAGTTGTGGACCTCGAAATTCTCCTTCCAACAGCGTCACCCCACAGAGCACTTAATTGTAAATAATTGGCACGATTATTCTTCTTAATGCTCTTCGGTCAGCATTTGTGATATTGCTTTTTTTCACATATCGTGGCTTAATATTAACTGAACCAGTTACGTTATATCTTCTAACAATATCTCTCACACTGTACCGCGATAAGTCTAACAAAGTTGCAATTTCCCAGAATTAAAAAAATTTATTATCAGGAACTGAATTTTCTCACTAATAACCTTTCCTCTACCCATTTTGAAAACATTAACTACCCAAAACTATTTTAAACGCATTCTGACAATTGTCATTGCTTTTATTTTTCACAGCCACCTATGCGTTATAGACTTGTTTTGCATTGAAATGAAAATAGGTTGATATGCTGTAATTGCAACATGTGTTATTTTTATGCTGCAAATTTGATTAGGGAATGATAAAGTTGGTGTTTTCTACTATATATTATCAAAATATTCATTGTTCATATTTTAAACCTATAACACCCTGCTACATTTTTATTATTTGTATTTGATAAGAAAAAACTAAGATTTCAATAGTTGGGCCAACTGAAGTGGGAAGGGGCTCGTATTACATCCAAAAAACCTAATATCTCATTTTCGAAATTTTTCGCGCTTACAGTACTTTCTCGCCTAGTGGCGCCATAAGTAAAAACCCAAATATACATATCCAGAAAGCAGATATTAGCATAATAATAATCCTGACCAAACAGATATTTGCCCCATCCCTATCAGTTAGTCAAAAAACACATACGCATAGGGTGCAAATTCCGACTGGAACATTTACGGCAGTGATCTGGTCTCTGCCGCGCTGATAGCTGCCGCACCGCTTTCCATAAAAAGTTAAATTGGATTTTTGCTAAATACCCGGGATTAGCACAGAACATACCTTCCCTCTCTTCCCCTATTTCCACTCTATACACCAAAAATAACACGATGCGTACACATGCAGTGTTGGAGTTAAACAACTGTTGAATGGATGCTGGTTTTACTGTGGTGAGGATTAGTTCAGTGTAGTTGAACGTAAATACGCTACGTTCATCCGCAATATTGAAAACATATTTTCGTGATTTAGTGATTTGCTTTGGCTTGATTAACAGCAGTGATAACATTATTCAATGCTTACTCGTACCTAATAGATTATACACTATGGCAATACAGTGAAAGCTGGGTCTGTATTTTTGAAATCGGTAATGAAAGTCGTACAAATTAACACCGTTTCAGGGGTGCTGGCGGCCCAAAGTGACACTTCCAAAAAGGTTGTAAGAAAATAGTCAGAAATAGTACATTTATACGTAGAAAAGTAAGTTAATTTTTTGAGAAATTGAATATCACAATGCCAAATTTAATCGGATAATACAAATAAGGATGAGTAAAACAATGAGAATAACTCATATAGGCTACTCCACTGTTTTATTGAAGTAAGCAAAAATATGTATGCATATTGTAAGATCAAATGCATTCGATGCATAAAAGAAATTCTTGTATATGCGGGAGACGTAATTATATCATTAAATATCCTATATTAATGTTAAACAGTTGAAATTTGATACAGTTATTAAAGATGAGTATTTGATATACAATAGTTGACTAACTTAATCAACAGACCATAAGACTAGAGTACTTGTCACTAGGAATCAATCGAGGCTCTATTCGATGGCCACTTTCTGGCTTTATCATCAGATCATCTCCTTGTTATAACAATCTTGCATTGTCAATTGACATATTGAAAACGTCCGCTACACTGTATTAGGATGACGTCACTGTGCCTATTGTGTTCCTCTCATCAATCCTTTCACTTGACATCCATGATATGGGGGTCGCTTTGGAAATGATAAGCCGATATTTTGCGGGGGACGCCATATTTGATTAGATGCTTATTCTGTTTCTCTCAAGCCCTTAACATATATACTAAGTGACATATAAATCCGAACACCCAGTTTAAATGGTTTTATTTTAATAAAAGTTGGTGAATGTATTTATCTTACTGTAAATAACAAGTGAAAAAATTTTCAGCCTTATCAGTTGGACATTCCGGTTTTTATACTGCTTTTTTTAATTCACTAACGCTCTAAAAATGAATATTTCAGCCGCAGTAAAGAATCAACGTTGGCGGATTTTGGTTCTTGACATCCTTTACGATCAGTTACGATGCCTAGAGTACGGAGACCTGTACGATTTCGTCAACTTAGTGAGTTTGATAGGGGCCGTGCAGTGGGACTTCGGGAAGCTGGACTTTCTTTTCGGGCAATTGCAGTTAGAGTGCAAAGAAGTGTAGACACTGTGGTTAGGTGTTGTCAGGCATGGCTTCGAGAAGGCCGTACGCAAAGAGCAAGGGGCACTGGACGCCGCCGTAGAACAACAGACCGTGAAGATCGCCGCCTAAGATTATTGGCCTTAAGGGACCGTTTCTCCACTACCAGGTCCATTGCAAATGAATGGTTTGCAGAACACGGAAGACCTATTGGCATGCGAAGTGTTTACCGACGAATGAGAAGTTTTGGCTTGTTTTCATACCGGCCACACTGGGTCCTCCCTTTAATTCGAGAACAGCGACGTAATCGCCTTGAGTGGTGCAGACAACGGTCACTCTGGGATCAGGAATGGAACAGTATTGTCTTTAGTGACGAGTCTCGATTTTGTTTAGGCATGCACGATGGTCGTGCCAGGGTTAGAAGGCGACGTGGTGAAAGGAGGAATCCACAGTTTTTTGTTGAAAGACATGTTCATCACACTGTTGGAGTTATGGTTTGGGGTGCTATAGCTTATGGTTCCAGGTCACCTTTAATCTTCATCAGAGGTAACATGAACGCGCAGCGTTATATCCACGAAGTTCTAGAACCCCATCTTTTGCCCTATCTTGACACCCTGGCAGATCCAACTTTCCAACAAGATAATGTCCGACCACATGTTGCAAGAGTCACAATAGACTTCTTTCAACATAATGATGTCACATTGTTACCATGGCCACCAAGATCTCCCGACTTATCCCCAATTGAGCACGTGTGGGATATGATGGGTAGGAGATTGCTCAATTTGCAACGTCCTCATCAGACTCTAGAAGCACTTCGAGAGGAGTTGGTGGTTGCCTGGAATGAGATACCACAGGAGGACATTGACCACCTGATCAGAAGCATGCCTAGGCGCGTTGGAGAATGCGTAGCACATCAGGGTGTATCCACACATTATTAAAGGTCAAAGGGTTTTAAAGCAGTGCAATCATTTTGAAATTTTTATCATTTACTTATTATGCTTCATTAAGTACTTATACAAAATTTTATTAAAATAAAACCATTTAAACTGGGTGTTCGGAATTATGTCACTTAGAATATTATGGAAATTATTGCCACATGAACAAGACAGGAATACAAAGTATCAGCTCGATTGGTAAATATTAATTGATTCAAAACCCAGTTTCAGGATTTATGTCACACATGCATAGGTAGTAACGAACTAATATACTAACAGTTACTTGTACAAGGCTTCTAAAAAGTTCCACTGTTAATGCAATTTATATTGAAATTCCAGCTCAAATTAATCCATGAGAAAATTAAACGGTTGTTTTCGATTTAAAAAAATTAATAAAAAAGTAATATAGAATCTCAGTTTGCTCATCACTAACGTTCCTCTACTCTGACGATTTCACAAAAAGTGACTTTTAATTAAAAACCACATGATTTCGGACACAGGGAGCAGAAATGAATAACGCGCGAAAAACCACGCCCGCTCATGTGGACCGACAGGCAAATGGATAAACAGAGATACCCACCACGTTATGGAGATTAAAGAATTAGTGTCATGTGATGCTTGTTTGTTTATGGACAGTTGATAAAATGGAACGCAGTTCAAATCGTTCGTTTTCTGAATGTTTGAGCATTTGCGAATGTAACTTGCATATGCTGGACAGAATGTTTTCCTGACCAATTCGCCTATCAAATAACTGCATTGATGTTTTGAAAAGCTTCACAAAATATGGAATGAATATCAGAGATCCCAAGGCCAAATGCCATTTATCGCAAAAGAAATAAGATATTTACAAAAACAATTTCTTGGTACTTGACCTTGAGGAGTTCAAGACGCTGCCAGGAAATTATAAGAGACTTTTGAGCCAATTTGTGAAACGTCCGATCAAAGGTCGCTTTCAGCTCACCCGCACAGTGTTAATTACACTGATCAACAGCCAAAAAATATCCTAAATAAAATCAACAAAATATTACTATTTTTAATGTGCTAAAACCGGAATGAAACTTATTTTTTCATTATTAGTTCAAGTTTTAGAGATACGGTAATTATATGTGTTCCTGCTGTGACAGTGTTAATATACTGTAATTCACAAGAATGCACGTGCTACAGTTTTATATTCGACAAGGTAAGATGATGTAATCGGCATGATTGTGTTACGTTATACATACGTGTACATTATATTGTTTTATATTAGCCATTTTTTCCTCAGTTGGCTGACAGCGTTCATGCAAGATGTCTCGAAAGTGTGTAAACAATCCAGATCAGTTTTGTTACGTGTGTGGTGATGTGACTTTTGCGTCTCAGAGACGGTCTCTTACTCCACTAATAACAAAGGCATATCAGCTTTATTTCGGTTGTAAACTAGGTGATCAAGACAAACAGTGGGCACCCCACATCTGCTGTAATACATGTGCTTCAAGTCTGAGGAGCTGGTTAAATGGCAAAAAGCGGTCTATGCGCTTTGCTGTCCCAATGGTTTGGAGAGAGCCTACGAATCATATTAATGATTGTTACTTTTGCATGGTACCTTGTGTTGGACAAGCCACAGGTATGTCCAAGAAAAAAAAATCAGTTATTAACTACCCAAACATACCATCTGCGATGAGACCTGTGCCTCACAGTGACGAAAATCCTATTCCAAAACCCCCAGAATCCTACACTTGCGAATCAGAAAACGAATCAGATCATGGCGATCGAGTGATTCGTCAGGAAGAAGATATGCCATCAACGTCAAGAGATCCCGATTTTATACCGAGCACGTCATGCCACCAACAGCACAAAATAACACAGTCAGAATTAAATGATCTTGTAAGAGATTTAGAACTTCCAAAATGTAAGGCAGATTTACTTGGATCAAGACTGCAGCAGTGGAACTTGTTAGAAGACGATGTTTCGGTATATGTTTTTCGTAAACGCCACAAAGACTTAGAACCATTTTTCAATATGGAGAATAACTTGGTTTTCTGCAGTAACATTAACGGCTTACTGGCAGCTTTAAATATAAACTATAACCCAGAAGAATTGAGATTGTTTATAGACAGTTCAACATTGAGTTTAAAGGCAGTGTTATTGCATATTGAAAATATTTTACCATCTCTGCCTGTAGGGTATGCAGTTCACATGAAAGAATCATATGACAATATGAAGTACCTATTGACATGCATAAAATACGATGAGCACCAATGGCATATTTGTGGCGATTTGAAAGTTGTTGCACTTTTACTTGGGCTGCAGCTAGGCTACACAAAGTTTTGCTGTTTTTTGTGTGAATGGAACAGTCGGTCAAAGGCACTTCATTACACCAGACAAAACTGGCCTGTTCGTCAATTCCTAGAGCCAGGTCAAAAAAATGTACAGCATATGCCATTAGTAGATTCGAAAAAAATTTTATTACCACCACTGCATATCAAGTTGGGCCTAATAAAAAACTTTGTCAAGGCATTAGATAGAGATGGGTCAGCTTTTCAATACCTGCGTCAGAAATTTCCAAGACTAAGTGAGGCAAAGGTTAAAGAAGGTATTTTTGTTGGGCCACAGATTCGAAATATTCTGAAAGATACACAGTTTGAAAACACTTTAACAGGTATTGAAAACACTGCTTGGAATGATTTCCGTCTGGTGGTCACTAATTTCTTGGGAAATAGAAAAGCTGACAACTATAAAACCCTTGTCAAAAATATGCTGTCATCGTATCAAAAGATGGACTTTTTTCCTGACAATTGCGGAGCTGTAAGTGATGACCACGGCGAACGTTCTCATCAGGATATTTCAACAATGGAAAGAGGTACCAGGGAAAGTGGAATCCTTCCATGCTTGCAGACTACTGGTGGACTCTTGGTAGAGATGCTCCAGAAACGATCCATAAAAG